CACTCCGGCTCGCCGAAGCTGGGTACCAAGCGGCTGCCCCAAGCCCTCATTGTGGGCGTGAAGAAGGGGGGCACCCGCGCCGTGCTGGAGTTTATTCGCGTGCACCCGGACGTGCGGGCCTTGGGCACCGAGCCCCACTTCTTCGACAGGAACTACGGCCGCGGGCTGGACTGGTACAGGTAAGGAGCGGAAGCCCCACTCCGCGCGCTCGGTCCTCTGAGCCCTCTCCTGCGCCTTCGCTTCCCCTTAACCTGGCTCGCCGTGTGGGTTCCGGCTAACACGTGGGGGAGACTCTAGGAGAAGGATTCATCCAGAACTTCCCAGTGAATGTGTAGATGGGCGCGCGGTTTCTTGGGCAAAGGATGGTTGGCTCTGGAGTCGCCGCAAGGGAAGGGAGATCTCCGGCCAGACCTCGGGACGAGCTGCTGGAGGGCTGGCTCCGTGTCCAGCCTCTGGAGTGGAGCTGGGTGTCCAGGGAAGCGGCAGCCAGGACACGTGCTGCCTGAACACAGCCCTCTCCTGACCCTCGCCAGCTCTTCCCTGGCCTCTGACGGACCCTGAGAAGGGGAAGTCCGAACAGGGCCCCCTTGCGGCAGGACTCTGCGCTCGGGCGAGGTCCCCGGAGTTTAGGCCGAATGACAGGGCGTCCCCTGAAGTGTCAGGATGAGAAAGGTCTTTTCTGGAGTCTCCTTCTCAGCTCCAGGTATTTGCTGCTGTATCTGAGCAGAGACTCCCAATCGCTCTGACCCTGAATTAGTGTTTTTGAGTAGTAGAAAGGACCCTGGATGTGAGTCTTGGCTCTTCCGCTTAGCTTGAGCAAATTCCTAAAACTCATTGAGCCTCAATTTTCTCATCTATCACAATGAGCAGAAAAAGTCCCTGCCCTGTCTGCCTCCCAAGGCCTTTCTAAAGTGCTTTAAAAGTGTAACAAAGACACTTTGCACAGGGATGCTTCTAAGCCTAACAAGATGTGGAATTTGGAATACTGGTGAGCATCTCAGATGAAGATTGGCTAGGGTCCCAGGGGCCACTAGTCATAGGTAGACCATCCACTCCCCCACTGCACTGCTGGGGTTGCCAGTCATCTAGGCTGGTGGTGTCTGGGAATATCCTGAAGCTTCTGGAAGGTGGCAACCTCCACTGTTCAATGCCTATTTACCTTCCAAGCCCTGTATGGTGTTGGGGTGTAGGACTGGCCCACATGGGGGGGGGTGAGCAAGGCATCCCTGGGGATGATGTAATGAATGGGTTCCCCATAACACATGGGTCACAGAATTCTCACCATCCACCTGGCCCCTTGAAGACTTGCTAGAAATGTCTGCATAGTGATGGAACTGGGGAGGGGTAACATGGTAGCTGACACAGTAACAGCTTTTTAAAAAAAATTTTATAAAAGTAAAGCCTTTAGGGAGTAGAAAGTCATAAGCCTGTTGGATAAAGGGCAACTTCATTAGAAGAAGGACCACCCCCTCTGAGTTCCTAATAGGGATCCTGGATTTGTAAGAAGGGGGATCACAGGGCCAACTTGTCCCATTTGCCAGTGAGCTCTGGCCTACTGTGGTCATGGTTTTGGACAGGAGTGGAACATGCCCCGTCCTCAGGAGACAGACACACAGTCCATCCCCAGCAGAGCACAGTAGGGAACAGCTGGCCGGTGGGTGGCCTGAGCACTGTTACATTGGCTCAGTGACATAGGGTGGCACAGGATGGCAGATCTGGCCTCTCCAAGCTGTGACCCACAGGCGTCCCATCCTGGTGCGCGAGGTGTACAAGGACAGCGTCGGAGCCAGACCCCAGGGCAGGGGAGACAAATGCATCCAAGAGCAGAGTGCTGTGTGGGTCAGCCATGGCCACGCTCTAATACACAGCAGGGTTTCCTCGATGGAAAGTCTAAAGATCATTATGAAACCCTTTGCCAAAGTGAAGTGCCTTTTAAGTGCAAAATAGCAAAATTCTGAGCATCTGGCTTATACTGTGCCCTCTGGTAAACACCTCTTCCCTGCATCCAGCCTCTGACTCCTTCTCTCATTTGCTCCACCACCAAACACCACACCTCAGGCTTCCTTCTTGGAGCCCTTGTCATTCAGGGATGGCTGCTTTTTATTTTTAACCTTGGTATGTGTGATTCTAAGCCAGCTTAGCTGTGAACCTTAGAGATGGGAGCCGTGGTTTTTTTTTTTCAATATAGCACATTCGGATTCTGCTAAAATTCTCAGCTGAATCTTGGTAGGTTTTATTTAACATCAAGCATGCTGACAGCTCCATTTCTCTCTCTACTCCCGATACCCCCGACTTCCCAAGGTCTGACTTCCCTTCCCTTTCCCCCTTTATATTTCTAAAGGAGCATTTAGCCCACAGGTCTGGTACTAATCGACCCATCCCCAGAAGGCTGGGAGCCCACAGCATCAGGAGGGGCTGTGTAGTTTGTGCTTCGTGCTGTTGCAAATCCACATCCCAGAGTCAAGGTGTAGCTTTCTGGTGTAGATTGCCATTTCTGCATAGGGTAATCCTGCCCCATTTGGATGCTGTTTCCATAATTTCCAGAACATTTCTCTGTATGTTTTTTATTCTTTATTATCACTGAAGTAATTTGCAGAAGTGATGGAGATACCTGGTTTCCTGTAAGTTCTCACTTTCTTCCTGAATTCCGTGAGTTAGGACGGCAGGTGATAGGATGCTCCTCTGTCTGCCCACTGCCCTCATCATTTCACAGATGTGGAAACTGCAACCCCAAAAAGAGAGAGCATCTAAAATGGGATCCAAAGCAAGCTGATGAAGTTTAGAAACCAAAGTCACTGGCATGTACTGTCCCACAAAGATTTATACATGCACACACTGTGTGTGTGTGCATGTGCACACAGATGTTTGCGTTTCCAGTGAAGTACTCTAACCACTGTTTTACACAGCTTGGCACCATGAAGCCAGTGTCTACTGGGTAGGCATGGCCAAAGAGCCCTTGCACCTATTGTGGGGGACTGGATTTTACAAAAGTGGAGGTGCAGAGCTGCAGACAGTGGATCTCATCACCATCTGCCCACGTTGAAACCCCTGGGTTTGGAGGCCCCAGTCAGACAAACAATGGAAAAATCAAAAGAGAGACTTTTTTCTGCGGGTAAATGGAGATGAACCAGGAGGTGACAAACGGTGTCTGAAGGCAGAATGATAGCGCCAAAGAGACACCACTGACCAAAGAGACCAGGAGCCAGAATCTACACCTTCCTTGCCCCCAGCCTCAGCCCCCTCATGGAATCAGCCCAGTTCAGGCCACCCTAGGAGAGCCCAGTCCTCTGCGGCAGGGTCCCTCCCCTTACACAGTTCTCTGAGATCCGATCACTGATGCTTACCTCACCTCTGCACCTGGCCAGGTTCCCGTCTCCCAGTTTCCTCCTCAAGGTAGCAGCTGGGTGTGCAGGGTGGGGTCAGCTAGCTACTTGGACAGAGACGCAGAGTGAGACCATGCTGACGAGGGACCCAGGAAGGCCCTGCTGCCAGAAGGCCAGAGACAGTCACCTAGATGTCACGTCATTGGAAGCAGAGTGAGCCTCCTGATGCTTGGCTTCTTATCATATGGTGGCGCCTACGGTGACTACCACGGAGGGTTCTTTTGAAGAATGAATGAAACACTGCATATGAAGGTGCCCTGGAAAATTCTCTGGTATATAAAGAGAAGGCAGTAACATTGTCACTATCACTACTATTACTCCCATACTTCACCACCCTCTGTTATCACCATCGGCACTGTTAGTGTGGGAACTACTGGTTTCTGTCCTACTGCTGTTACTCCATGGGGCTGAGGAATGAATTAATTGCTGGAAAAGTAGTTCCATGATAGATGAGGAAGAGTCTTGGCCTTAAGTTCTACTTTCAGCTCTGCTTTAATTATCTTTTTTTGTCACCTCCCTCTCTCCCTTCCTTCTCTCCTTCTTTCTGCATTGGTTAAAAAGTCACTTTTCATTTCTGGTTGTCAGCTTGCTCACCTTTAAAATGAGAATGATGTCTGACAACGTATGTGCCTTAGAGCCCCCCAACCTAAGAATTTATTTGTGATGCTATCATTCATCAAGGCTTGGGTGCGAGACAGAATACTCAGGGTCTTCATCTCTTATGAAAAGATACAGGTGCTGCCTTGCCCAGCAGTTTTGCAAGTCTTAGGGGAAGCTGAGTTTTGTGTAAAGTGTTCTCCATTTGGCTAGTTTTCAGCAGCGGGGGATGGGGAGCCCATGTGATGAGGAAGTGAATCTTCCCTAAATGTGCCAAAATGCCAACAAGAGCAAGTTAATATGAGATAATTGACTCTGTGCTCCAGTGTCAAAATTGTGATAGATGAGCCTGTTCTGTACATTTTAGACTCCACTTCACAACTCTGGTTACTTATTTGTTCGGCGGCGGTGGTTTCTGGGGGACAGTGTAAGGCAAAGAAGACACAGCACTTGCCCATGGAGGCAACAGTCTAAGTGAGAAAGAGAATAAAAAGCACAGAATAAGGTCTATCGCCTTATCCAGCTCTTTAAATCAAGAAATCAAATTCCAATAGCAAAGCCAAACTTTAGAAAGGCAAAACTTTAAGAAGAAATGAAACCAAAGGCAGAAGTCTTTTCCATCTTTAGCAAACAGATGACACATGACACACAGACTGACCCACACTTGTTGAGTGTGCACAGATGCGTGTGCATGCACACACAATTCCAGCGTGTGTGCAGACACGTCTTCAGAAGGAGTTTTCCTGCCTTGGTCCAGGAGGATGTCACACACACGCTGATTAAATGAACCCGTTGACTCCATAAATCCTCCGTCCGTCTTGTAGCTTGGTGTCAGCCTCGCAGCAGCTGGAGATACAGTAGTTAGTTCCAGCACATGTACGGTTCTTGTCAGGCACTGAGGAGCATTCAGAATGGGCAAGCACAACTGTCACCGCTCAAGGAGGCTTTCTGAAGAGCTGGCTTCGCCTCCCCCTGGAGCTGAGAGGGACGATGGGAGAGCTTGGCATGAAGACCAGGCTTCCCCCATGGCCTGTTTAGGAAGAAAAGGCCCTGATCAGCCTCAGTGCTGTTCAGCTCGCACACATTGCCAAGTCTGTGTTGGATGTTAAACTGTTGCATGGATTCTAAGAAGCACTTATTTTTTTTTTCTGCCTTTTAACATCTCTGAAATGAGGATGTGTCTTAGTGATTGATAGGAG